CAATTCTGGCAATTCCCACAGAACACCCTATTGTTCTTACAGTGGAATGGGTGATTTAAAATGTAAAAGGCAAAATCTATAATCCTCCCTTTTTCAAGTTTTAGTTGAAATGTGAGACTTTGAGTACATTCCCCACTCCTAAATCTGACATCGCTGTCACTGTCCATCTCTCCCTGAATAAAGGTGACCTGGGAACGTCCCCCAAGTCAGGGAGTCAGGGCAGTTCACCCATTGGAGGGGGCAAGGTCATATGGTGTGTCAGGCGGTATAAAAGCCGTGAGTGTGCTGGCGGGCATCCAGGGAGCATGTAGGAGCCTGACTGTGGTCCCCAGTGAGAGACCTGCCACCACAACTCCCCCGAGCTGGGGGGCCACACTGTGTGGGAATGGCGATGGAGGAGACGGGCTGCCACGGCGACAGCCCACACTGCTGTGCAGGCGAGCACGGTGCCCTGGAACACCTCACCATGGAGGCTCTGGTCATAATCCCGGTCAGTGTCCAGCACCACTGCAGAGTGCAGCCCAGCTTCATCCAGCCTGGGAGTGCCTGGGGTGGGGTCTGTCCTCTTATTGTGGTAAAGTCTTAATCATATGGGCAGGTTTTCATCACGGTGTACCAGAGAGTCCTAGCCTACAGTGACAACTCTCTGCTTACTGTCCGTGGCTAGGGCAGTTACTTTGTCTAACCTAGTGACTGTTTGTTAGTGATTTGTTACCACTGAGCAGCGAGTAAACACCTCTCCGTTTAGGCTACAAACCTCTTAAGCAGCGAAAACCAAATTCAGTGTTTGACTGCTCAGACTCAGTATGGAAGAGCTCCTTCCCACAATGCAGTGCATATTCTGGTATGTAAATCTGTATGTTATGGGGTAACAGTGGGATGCTGCTGCTTTCCCCTCCTGACGGGAGCTGTGTAAGACTACAAATGGACCGTATTTTCCTCGGTTGTGTTATGGTTTAGATGGTTGCCAGCTTTTATATGACAATTTTCTAATTTAGTGGTTATTGTGTGTTTAATGTCAGGCTCTCCGCTCCCTTCCATCAGCCCTTCACCCTTTTGGACTCTCTCCCCCCCTGTGTTTCCTGGACTGTCTGCTGTCCTACAAACTGACAAATCGATGTGTGAAATGGGTGGCTCCGCAAATGGAAAATCAGAGAGATTTGTGGCCTTTGTTGTTTCTGGTTGCACTGGCGTGAGGGAGGCAGCCATGAAACCCACAATGGTGTTGTTTCAAATCCAGTGGTCACATGTTACACATTTATCACAGTTTATGATCGTATTTGGAGTCTGGGCCCCTGTGGTGATGAGTCTGACATGTTTCTTAGAAATGAGCCTGGTAGTGGTGTCCTGGCTTCCTCTGCCTCCACACGCTCATTTTTGAGTTTTACTGTGCATCTGCACACCATTTTCATCCATTTTCAATCTGTTTGACCCTTTGAGGCTTCTGTAGATGAACTGGTTGGGTTTTTTTCTTGCTGAATATTTAAATCAGCCTACAGTTCCAGATTAAAACAAGCTGTTGTTCAATTGGATCTTTACTTTTACAGCGGTGTGTGTGTGTGTGTGTGTTTGTGTGTGTGTGTATATGTACATATCCTGGTATGCACTAGCATCCCATCCAAGGCCTGGTGTTTCCTTAGACTGGATACCCTACACTAGATATTCATTTTAACAAAATAAACAGGTCGATGTCTATTATGTCAAACTACCCTTGTCCGTTACCAGCCACTGCACATGTTCTATACATTTTATTTTGTGCACTTCTAATCAGCTAGAGTTATCATGAATGACGAGCTAAAGCTAATGCTTAGGGTCTGTGTTCATTTTGTTTGTAAATCTAACAATTACACCATATTTCCATGCTCGATCATCAGCCTGATAATGGTTTTCCTGGTGTTCCTTGACTTTTTCTATTCCTCATTGTTTTGATGATCTGACAAGAGGCTCTCTGGTGCCGCCCTACAGGTACTGTCGCTGGGAGCGGATGTGCTGCCCGAGTACAAGCTGCAGGCTCCTCGCATCCACAAGTGGACCATCCTGCACTACAGCCCCTTTAAGGCAGTGTGGGACTGGATCATCCTGCTACTGGTAATTTACACGGCTGTCTTCACGCCCTACTCAGCTGCCTTCCTCCTCAACGAGCAGGAGGACGAGCGCCGGCGCACCTGCGGCTACACCTGTAACCCGCTTAATGTAGTGGACCTAGTGGTGGACGTCATGTTCATCGTGGACATCCTCATCAACTTCCGCACCACCTACGTCAACCACAACGACGAGGTTGTGAGCCAACCGGGCCGCATCGCCCAGCACTACTTCAAAGGCTGGTTCCTCATCGACATGGTGGCCGCCATCCCCTTCGATCTGCTCATCTTCTGCTCTGGCTCCGATGAGGTGTGTGAGATGGGAATGGTTAGTGCTGTCTTCATCCTAAATGTTACCACCAGGCCAGAACTGAACTGAACATCTTGTTCACTGAGTGGCCAGAGACACGTGAACCTGAAATGTCCACTTTGTTCCTCGACGTATGCTCCTTCTCTTAAATCAGAGGCTGCTTTTTAAGGCCCTCAATAATGAGGATATCTCTTTAGAGCAGATACATGTGTGGTAAAGAGGTCTGCTAAACAAGTAACTTCTAAAAAGTCCACTATGACCCCCAGCCCCCCATCCCCGTAAATTAGGTAAAATGCAGGGCTACTGACTTAGACAGCAGATATTTAGATTCCTCTACAAACAGCAATGAGGCTTTTGATCCTGCAAGCTGGGGCATTACTATCCCACAGGGTGACTGAGGTTCACTGGTGGACATTAGCCACCATGTCCCCTGAGTGGAAAGTGTTGGGGGCAAGCCTTCTAAAGCGGGATGAGGTAGCAAGCCACCATGGGGGTTCACAGCCTGTGGTCTGACTGCCTGTGCTGTTCAAGTCAGGTGAGGGTCTGGGAGTGTCCAAGATGGTCCAAGAGTGCGTGGGACAATCTATGTGGGTGTATCTGTGTGGGGGGATGGGAGGAGAGATCAGGTTTATATTACATTTTGGGGAACATTTGGTCTTAAGGTCGTCATGTTGGGATTTGAGTTTTCCCTATAGAAATGAACGGACAGTCCCCACAAAGATATAATTACAAACCTGTGTGTGTGTGAGGGGTCATGGGCCATGTGAACTATAGCTGTCAGGAGGGGAAGGGGGCCTCATGTTTCAGAATTAAGTATCTAGTGTGTTATCCTTTAAAGCAGACTCATTAAAGGACAAATGTAAATGTTAAGCATCATTTTCAAATAGTAGCCAGGGATCCACATGAAGGAACATGGCATTTCAGCTCTGCCCTCCACCTCCCCAGCCCCAGACCACGACCCTGATTGGCCTGCTGAAGACGGCCCGCCTCTTGCGGCTGGTGCGTGTGGCACGGAAGCTGGACCGCTACTCAGAGTATGGTGCCGCCGTGCTATTCCTGCTCATGTGCACCTTCGCCCTGATCGCCCACTGGCTGGCCTGCATCTGGTACGCCATCGGCAACGTGGAGCGCGCGGGGGCCTCACGTGTTGGAGCCATGAAGATTGGCTGGCTGGACAACCTGGCTGACCAGATCGGCAAGCACTACAACGACAGTGACGTGAGCTCCGGTCCATCCATCAAAGACAAGTACGTGACCGCGCTGTACTTCACCTTCAGCAGCCTGACCAGCGTTGGCTTTGGCAACGTGTCACCCAACACCAACCCCGAGAAGATCTTCTCCATCTGCGTCATGCTCATTGGATGTGAGTACCCGCCGACATGGGGTCACGTGTACAGAAAGGGGCACTGCTGAGAGAGTGTGTCTCCCTCCTTTCTGTGAATCTCTGTGGTTTATGTGGTCTTGCGATGCAGACACACAACCCGATTAGCCTGTTAACGATCCCCCTATCTGCTCCCCACAGCCCTAATGTATGCCAGCATCTTTGGCAACGTGTCTGCCATCATCCAGCGTCTTTACTCTGGAACAGCCCGCTACCACACGCAGATGCTTCGGGTCAAGGAGTTCATCCGCTTCCACCAGATCCCTGGGGGCCTGCGCCAGCGTCTTGAGGAGTACTTCCAGCATGCCTGGTCCTACACCAACGGCATCGACATGAATGCTGTGAGTCCTGCCCCGTATTTCCCACAAACTAACGCAAACGGCCACTCATTAATCCCCCATGCAGACGGCACTGCAGGCTCGCATGTATACACCCCCTCATTAACCCCCCATGCAGACGGCACCGCAGGCTTGCATGTATACACCCCCTCATTAATCCCCCATGCAGACGGCACCGCAGGCTCGCATGTATACACCCCCTCATTAATCCCCCATGCAGACGGCACTGCAGGCTCGCATGTACTGTAAATGGCCCCTCATTAATCCCCTACATACACTCACCCATCCAAGTACATGTACTGCCCAGATGCATTGATATTCCATTTCAAAGCCCTATGATGCCTTCAGCAGATAAGCTCTAGTGTCGCTTCACTGGTGCGTAGTCTTTGGTCCCTATTTGGCAGTCAGTACAGTTGGTGCTGATCCCTTATTAGAACACACTAAACTGGGAGTGAGCGGTGATCGCCTGAGGGGACGTCAGCAGCAGCTGATGCGAGAACCAAGCCAGTTCTGTGCTTGCCTGTGCTCTTAAAATAAAGGGGTTTGATTTGCCAGGTAGGAGGTAACAATTCTGCAAAACAGTGGGAAATTCAATCTTTGCATCATAGATGAAATGTAAAGGCGTCATCTATTATTCACCAATGCTAGTTTGGATGAATCCTATACACACAATTCATGTGACATGGGAATGGGTATTTGAGAGAAACAGGGATGCCGCTAGAGATTTTGGGCCCCATGACAGCATATGACCAATCCAGCTATTTTTTAGGTCTCTTTGTTACTAAGGGGCTCTTGGACTGGCCATAACATCCCCCCCCGCCCCCATTACGGTGCCGCCGGTCGGCAAGCACCTTTTTTCTGACAATTGACTAAATATGATGAATTTGCTGCCCACTTTACCCCCCCCGGCTAGCCAGGAAGCCTGAAACCATAATTGGTTTCAGTTTAATCTGAGGATCAGCCTTGATGCAAACTTACATATGGAGACTCTAAATAGCCTGAAATCAGGAGTACAACAGCAGTTCAGACAGAATTGCTCTGCCCTCTTGCTCTGTCGAGGGCCTGGCCAGCTCTCCATGGGCCGTTCCCCATCGACCAGGCCGCCCCAGCGGTCTGCGCGTCTCTTCCCACATGTCTGGTCTGGGATGACGTGCTCGTCCTGCCCTTTCACGGTGTGCTGTGGGGAGGCCAGCGAGTTTCTCTATATTGTCTGTACACAGTTTCCTGTTGGGCACATGCCAGGAGTGGGTGTTTGTGGCTGGCTAAATGAGGTCTCCGGGCGCACAGACGCGCTTTGCACAGATTTATGCTCAAACCCCCCTCGGGACGTCCCAGGCCATAAGGCAGTGTAAATATTTAGAGTTGCGGTTTGTTTACGGGACGCCTTGTCGTCCGTTCACTCGTCTAGCGAGTGTATCTATGATGTGCCTCAAATCTGACTCCCTGGCCAATTTGGGACAAAACGCGCAGCAAACCAGAAAAAAGGAGGCGTCGCTCCATCCAGGGTTGCATTAAATCTCCACTCCGATGTGCAAGGAATGATCAGCCTTTAAGAGTGCCAGAGTGGACGATATGTGGAAATTTTCAAGGAGAGGTGCGCAGTGCTCCTGTTGCTAGGTTAATGGAAGCAGACGGGTCCGTTCAGTGTGGAGATGCACCGATCAGACATTCGGGTCTGCTGTCGGCGCTGATCCATACCTATTAGACAGATCGGATATCGGCCATATGTAATCGATTCACGTCTCATACTTTAGTTTTCGGCTGTCTGTTAAACGATAGCTCCTATTTTTTGTTAAATCGATGTGTACAATCAGCCGCACAACAGCTCATTCCCATTTTACTTGTGTTTTGTGCAGCATTCAAGCTGAATACTAACGCTGCCACTTGCTATTGGATGTGAACTCGGTGACATACATCTACTGTGACATGTCTACTTTATTTTGTTTTATTTTGTATAGTGAATTTTGTGCTGCACACTCGCTCTCCCCCTCTCTCTCATGCTCAGCTACATGTAGCACACACACACAGACTCTGCTTTTAGTGATGGTGGCAGGAAGAACTAAATGTTCAAAAGTGTAATTACTTTTCACTTGAGTCGATGCTGACAATGCCCAAGTAACAAGTCTCCTGCAAGTAAGGGCCGAAACACCAGCAATCTGTTGAAACATCTAGCAAAAGTCCATCACATGCCTAAGTATGAATGCACAGTTTTTGACTGCCTAGCTTGTAGGATATCTGTCGTTGCCCCAGGTATGTTATGTTTGCTAGTGGCCGGGAGCCCACACACGGTGTTAAATTATATGAGTATGAATTAATGATTTAAAGTAACCATTAGCCAGCTGATTGTTAGTAATAATTCAGAGTGTACATATGTGTGTATATTTGTTACATTATCTTACAAAGTTAGGAAAACGATATTTAAGTCAAGTATTTAAGCCTGATGTTTCCGTAAACATAACAGAATAATTTCAGTCTTCTCCCCACAGTGAGACATACAGTTAATTACTAAACACCGGTATCGGAGCAGTACTCTGGATTACCCAGTACCGAAAACCCAGGTACTGGTATTGGTATCAGACCAGTTGGATCTGTTGCATCTCTAACTCGGTGTGCGGGTGAAGCCCTTTGAGCGTGTGAACACAGGGATGGATATCTGACACATGATAACAATAAAACCTGAACATTGCAGGGCTGTGATATTAAAAAGTAAAGACAGCCCCCGGGTTAAGAAAGTCCAACTTATGGATAACAGCTCAAGGTCTATCGTGACAGTATCACCTATTCTCTCAGTAATATCCCCAGCATCCCAGTGCTGTTTCAGATGAACTCCAGGCCCATCTACTGAAACAGCTGCCTAGACTGATTGTCTGGTTCTTCCTGGTGAGCGTCACTGTGATTATCTCTCTAATGAAGGTGCTGATGACCCCCACCCCCCAGGTCTTGAAGGGCTTCCCCGAGTGCCTGCAGGCCGACATCTGCCTGCACCTGAACCGCTCACTCCTGCAGCACTGCAAGGCCTTCCGGGGGGCCAGCAAGGGCTGCCTGCGGGCGCTTGCCATGCGCTTCAAGACCACGCACGCCCCACCCGGTGACACACTCGTGCACTACGGTGACGTGCTCACCGCCCTCTACTTCATCTCCCGTGGCTCCATCGAGATCCTGCGCGAAAATGTGGTGGTGGCCATCTTGGGTGAGTACTCCCTCTGACCCCTCCCCCATCTAACCCCTCCCCCATCTGACCTCACCCCCATCTGACCTCACCCCCATCTGACCCCACCCTTTTGGTCCAGCCCCATCTGACCCCACCCTTCTGGTACCATATCCTGGGATGACAGTCTGCCAGCTGTCAAAGACCCCAAATGATGTGTTACACCATTTCATGTGAGCTGAGGACCTGTTCCTCTACACTGTTAAAGTCAAGCATAGACAATGTCCTTTATTTGTCAAATCCATGATGAATGGATTTAGCAGTATATTGAAAAGCTTATGAAAAGGCTTACGTAAGCATTCACATAGGCATAAAAAGTCAATGAAAACCTGAGAAGAGACAGATGTACATTGAACAGCAAGTGTAATAGACAGGTTAAGAACAATAAATGGATGAATGAGTAAATAAATGCATATTTCAGCAGCAGGTTTTATTGTAACTTGGCAGCATGAAATGTATCAATCAGGTGGCCTGTGCAAAAAAACATTTTAAGCCTGTTAGACCCGGAGCTTATCCTACGATAGTGGTGACCAGATGGAGGCTTGCAGGGCAGCCTGTGTGCTGGGTGGGAGCTGTCCATGATGATTCCACAAGCTTCACTCACACTACATATGTGGTAGATGTCCTGCAGAGCTGGGAGCTTGGAGCCTATGATCTGGTGAGGATGTGAGGATGCGTGCCACATGTCTTCAGTTTACGCATGAAGGAGAGCCTCTAGGGTGACAACTTGCTGGAGTGGACAAGCCAGGGGTGTGTTTCCCACTTGTGTGGTTCGAACTATGCAAGTACGATGCAGTTATGTCCCGAAACCATGATTCGAACTTTTGAGGTAACGACAAACTTAGTATGATCCATTGTTAAAAGACACAGGTGTTTCCCAAAAACCATAGTTTGAACAAACGTTCGCAAACAGTCATTAAGTTGTGTAGTTTGAACTACAGCTCTCGAGCTGTAGTTAGAAGCTTAGTTCTGGGTGACTAAGTCATCGATGGTGGATAACGCAGTCGAAGGAGAGTACTCACCATGTAAGTAAGGTGAAAGTGATTAAATAATCTTGCCGTATAGACATCTATAATGTCAAGTGCTTTGAAAGTGTAGTTGTAAGAGTAATTTTAATGTACTTTTTTGTTCATGAGTGTGGTATGATTTGTAGAGGATGTTGTTTACCTACCTTTGTACTATATGGTAGAATTCTTTACATAAATAGATATATACAAAAAAAAATTAAGAGACCACAGCACGAATTCTTATTTCACTCATTTCTCTATTTATGGGGGTGCCTCTGTGAATAATATTTTTTTTTGCAAACTCCTGCCTGATTCTTTATGGGCTGATATTTGTGCCACTAGAAACTGAATATGAATAGTGTGTTTTTGAATCTGCAGTTGTTGCATTAAAAAACTGAATCTGAATTTATTAGTTTGAATCTGAATTCCAATAACCTGAAACTGTATTTATCCTACCTGGAAAATTTTCAGTTCGCAAATTCAATTTCAATCTATTGAGACACACATCCGGGTCCTTGAGGAAAAGTAATCGACCACAGGTTCACATCGCAACTCATTTCCACATTTACTACAGCTCTGCAGGTCAGGGTAAAGAGGAGGCGTGTGCCGGGGTGTGTCGCAAGCGCATTAGAATAAGCTTTATATACACGAGCGGTAGCATAATCATTAACCAAACGTCTGGTTAGTATGGTAGTATATGTGATTAAATGGCACTGCTAGTTTATGTTAATATGGTAGAGTAACTCAAAACTAGCTAGGGATATGAAATTTACTTCTAGTTTAGTTTAAGTTATGGCACGCCTGTTCATCTCATCTGGCTTTCTAGCAGTGTTTATGCTAAATATCTTTTAAAATATTCATCTCATCAATATGAGGCGGAAGTCAGTATTAATTTTATGTGAGTATGTAATATTATTTACCACTTCATAATGCATATAGAATGTAATCATTAGGACTCTATAAGAAGCTGATGTAAACTGTGTAGAGACTTTGTATCCTTCAGAGAATGTGACGTAAAACAAGTATGAATTAGCACCTTGTGTTCGCTTAGAGGTTTCTGTATCTGTTAGCTATTTTGTTAGCCTTTGATGTACTTTATATGTACTTTATTATTTTTTATTAAATTCAGATTCAGTTTTTTAATTCAACAACTGCAGATTCAAATATACACTATTCAAATTCAGTTTCTAGTGGCACAAATATCAGCCCATAGGTTCTTTCCTGTTTCTCATCAATGAAAGGATACTTCCTTGCTTTACTGGACTAAAGTCTTGCTTCTAAGAGCCTGATACGAACTGTCCTAACAGTGCATGTCACACCTGCACTTAATGTTTCCCATTACTTTGGAAGGTCACTTGATGTCATCCTGCGATTCATGCGAAGCTATCGAAGTTAGAATGTCACTTCTGCCCTTTACCTGGCTGGTTTCTGGTCATTCCAGTGTCTCCTGCTTCACCTTATTTTTGTGTACTGCTGTCTTAGAAATTTTGAACCTGAAAGTAACCTTCTACTCAGTATAGCCTTCTTCCAACAGAACCACGATTAAACTAGGGTTTAAAAATGCGGATTTGTCTTAAAAGATACAGTGGTCTCATTTTTTTCCATGGCTGTATTTAGGGCTGCACGATTATGACATTGCAATATCACATTGATTAAATTTGCGGTATTTATAAAACCAGAAAAGAGATGAAATTACCCGAAATAAACTATTGCCAAATAGAACTTATCTAAAAATAGTGTGTTGTCGTGAGTTGTGTCAACTGGCAAAGCAGTGCCGACGTGCACATCGTGATGACTATGCTGAAACGATTTATCACTCAGCACTTATCACCACCAACTGCTTTCATTACAATATGAAAAAGATTTTAAAAATGCACTGGTGGTACAAATCCATGGCTGTGTAGGTGAGAAATCTGGTATACCATGGTGAGTGTTATGCACTCCCATCCGTCCCACTGAGCCACTGATAGGCTGTATGAACAGTGATGATCAGGAATTTATAAATGTTTATAGTGTGATTAAAATAATAAAAAAAAAACATAATTACAGATAGAGCCAATTTCATTAAATGCATTGTAGCCTCATAGCTAATAGTTCTTAGCTATGTATTATATTACTTTTATGACACTATTGCTATTTTTTATTATTGCTGTTATATGACTGACACAATAAATAGTAATGTAATATCAGCACAACTGTAATATTTAGAAATACTGTTATGAAGTTTGGGAGTTTTTACATGCAACCTGCGTGAGAGTCAGGCCAGTCACCTCTGGGCCCATTGTAGTTCGAACTCGGGTGGTTATATATAGTCTGTATAGGGTTGCAAACTGCCGTAACGTTTTTGATGAATGGAATATAGATTTGCCGTAAGATTTCTTGCATGAGAGTCTGAGTTTGCAACCATGAACACGTACATTTTTTGTTTCACCTGAATTGATTTGTATAGAAAACCGTATAAAGTTAAAAAGCAGAAACGTCGACCAACATGAAATCACCAATAAACGGCTTCTATTTATTCAACATTTTATGCAAATGCATACTACGTTTAAAAATTTCCAGCTTTACGTTTTCAGGATGGAACAGCCACTCTGTTATGAACATTACGGTTTTTTGAGTGTTATTAAGTGTTAATAACAGCAGCTAACAACACAATAGC